AGGGTGCAGTCCTCCGGTTCGTGCCTCCATCGCTGTGGGCTCCTGCTTCGCCAAGAGATGGGGGGAGGCAAAACTCGAGTGAGGTCGGTAACAGCACACGGCGCTGATTTCCCGAGCCGGGCGGCTGACATAGGCATGACGGCACAAGTGCTACAGGAGCACTGGGGAGGGACCCTCAATAAAGACATCAGGCAACAGCAGGCTCCATGCCTACTCTGCTGCAGAGATCTCCTCTCACACCTTCATTAATGGGCAGCCATGTTAGTACCAATACCCTGATGGCCACAGAGAGTGTCTTCTCTTGCCTTATGAAATAGGAAGGGGTCACCCTAAGTAGGCCCATTCCCTGGCCTAAGGCATTCAAGCCTTTTGAGGAAGGGATGGGGAGGTGTGCACATGCGTAGAAACGGCAAGCAAGCCAATTACAGCATCAGCACAGAGTGCTTGCCTGGCTGTCACTGTTCAGTCAGTATTTATCAGGAATAGGAAAACAATTTTTTAGACTGGCAGATGATCATTCTACTAATGCAGACAAGCCCACATTACAGTGGCTATGGCATGGGAATGAGAACTCAGTTAGATGGGCATGGCTCAGAGTATTTATTCAGTCTTTGCTGTAGCAATAGTTTATGCCTTGAAAAGCTTACATAGCCTCCTTAAAATGCTACTAAATTGCAGCTTGGTCTTTTTGCTGCTTAGCACACTTGCCAAGGCCCAGAAGTATATCCCAGAACGAACAGAAATGATTGCACACAGGTCTAAACTTAAGCTTCTCCCATCATCCACATAAATTCCCATTGGCCATTGCTTCTTCTAGTGTAAAATCTTCTGAAGAAGCAACATGGTGTTCTTCATGTGGTAAGAACCTGTGAAACTGCCATGACTCATGACTCATACCCACTGACACAGCAAACCTGACATTTTTCGATTTGATCTATGTACCTGTGGTAGGAGTCCACCAGTTAGTAAGTACAAAATTAATACTGGTAATTTGGATCATAGCTGTGTTGGTTTTTAATTGAAAGCTTTAAAAAATATATTAGCACAAAGGAATATGTTCATGATATGTGTTTATGAAGGGGAAATGGGCGAGCTATAATTATGCACTGGATGAAATCTTAATCCTTTGACTTCACAAATGCAGCTGTCACATCACAAGGCCCCTGTGTCCACATGGATAAATTAATGCCAGGGAACATTCCAAGGCGTTCACATTTAATCATCTATACTGTTAAAATATTACACAAGACCTCGGCGTGGTTTGGGTCCAGACTAATTAGCACTCTTTAAGCAATTCCTGGGCACAGCTTGGCAGCTAGCACAGGCCATGGACCATTCCCAATAAGCAGCTTGCATGTAGTCATTGTATTTTGGAAGTATGCAGGTTTAAACTTTTTCATGCCAGCTGAACTTAATATCAGAGAACAGTCCTGAGTCTACTGAATTTGGTAGCATGAAGGTAACCTTCTAGAAATGTTACCTCCTTGCCTGCATTCTCACCTCAGCAGAAAGCAGAGCAATGTAAGAAATGCAAGCTGCTTTTTGAACAGTGTTTATAATTTGGGGTACTGGGGGCCACTTTAGCAGATGATGTGACAAACACAGTATGATAAGAAATTACAAAATGAAAATTGGAAGTGTATAAAGCTTTATCAGTAAACTTGGAACATCCAGAGAATTTCATAGGCTGATTTCCTGATTTTTCCTTTGGAAATAATGCTTCTCTGTGAAGTAATTCTCCTCAAATGCTTATGACTGAGGGCCTGGCATTTCTACATCCAGTCACCAAAGTTCTTCAGGGGCTTTTCCTTTTGCATTATGAGTAAGATATCTTACATTGTATTGCTTCATCGACATTGACACTGTAAGGTCTGGTTTAACCCAGCAGGCAGCTGAACACCACACAGCTGCTTGCACCACCCCCTCTGCCCCTGCAGTGGGATTGGGGAGAGAATTGGAAAGAAAAAAAAAGTAAAATCTGTGGATTAAGATAAAGACAGTTTAATAAAACAGTAGAGGGAATAATAATAACAATAATAATGTACAGAATATAGAAAACAAGTCATGCTCAATGCAATTGTTCACCACCCGCTGACCGATGCCCAGTCCATCCCAAGCAGCAATCGCTCTCCCCAGCCAACTTCCCCTGAGCATGACATCATATGGTCTGGGATAGCCCTTTGGCCAGTTGGGGTCAGCTGTGCTGGCTGTGCCCCCTCCCAGCTTCTTGCGCACCCGGCAGAGCAGGTGGAGCTGAAAAGCCCTTGACTGGTGTAAGCACTGCTCAGCAACAACTAAACCAGCAGTGTGTTATCAACATTCTTCTAGTACTAAATCCAAACCACAGCACTATGCCAGCTACTAGGAAGAAAATTAACTCTATCCCAGCTGAAACCAGGACAAATAGAAAATACAAAATGCAGCTAAGAAGCTAATCAGCTCATAAGATAAATAATTAGCTCAGAACTGGGTGTTTCTGAAGAATAGAGACCAGCTGAGGGTAATGAGTCCTAGAAAATAACTCCTGGCTAATGACTTAGGACAGTTGCTTTTAAAAATGCTTAGCTAGATTTTATTGTTATTGCTTATTTGGTGGCTGCCAGATAGTGCCTGCCAGGTCAGCTGTGATTCTAGAAGGCTTCAGAAGGTGCAGACGCAAGTGTCTCCAGCTTGAGCAGAGGAACCCCCACCCCTGGGTATGTGATACTGCATTATCACGAGGTTGGCCAGAGGAATTTCTACAGCCAGCTCTAGTGGATTGTTGCTAACACTTCTAACATTGTCATTTAGCAAGGAGTAAGTTATCTCAGTGGCCAATGGAGCTCACCTAAGAAATTAACTCTCAAAGAAACAGGTTTAATAAAATAAGCAGTTATTTTATAGTATTCAAATCAGTACATAGTTAACCTTTCAAAATACTTGCTGCTCGTGATGGATCCCAAAGTCATTCAGGGCTTCCACAGCTCAGCCAGATGACTTATCTTGGTTATATTGATGCCTTGGTAGGACTTAGCCTTGAAATCTTAAAGAAATCTTCCTGCTAAGCACTCAAGCTTCAGGATTAATAGGACTCTTGGGTATTCATGAAAAAGATTAAAAGAAAACCTGTAGTGTTTCAGAAGTTGCCTTGGACGAATTACAAATGTTTCACACCCCACCCCCCAACTGTATTAAAATATTGTGCAAGGACTCAAATATCTGATAAAATACCTGATCTTGCACTCATTTCACACGTAAAGCAGTTAGTAATAGCCTGAGTACACAATGAGAGCAGGACTGGACTGCTGTCTTATAAACTTTAGATAAAAAAATGAATTAAAAAAATTACCTGATGGCTTATATCCCTGGCAATTTGAAGGGGGCAGGAAATGGATCAGGACTGAATTTGGCCTGTGTGCTTGAAATAATTTTGCTTATTAATTCTTCCTTTGCTCTGTATTTGCTTGATTCTAAATTTAAAATTGCTTGATTTCTTTCCATCAATTAGTGGAATTGGAAATATGTATGCTGAAAATAACTATATAAACACTTAAATTGTTTACATAAGTTATGAACTGCTTAAGAAGATTACAGAATCCAGCACTCTGCAGTGAGATGGAGGAATAACTTGTCTACAATTGTTTATTTAAGTACCATATTAAATTTGTCCTAGTTTCCAAATATCTAGCATTTTAAACTGCCAACTATCAGTAGGGTTCTTGCCTGGGTAAAAATCACAGGCTTTGGGAAAAACTGTGTGCTGAAATACACTGATACCACTAAAGCCAATGGAATTGCTTTTCGTTACTGTTGGAGTAACGGAGATGAGAATCTGTCTCTGCTTTACTTGTAGAATTACAGGTATAAATCTTACACAGTAGCAGTCCCCTGCAGAGTACCTTTCTGGCGATGGGTCATGCTCTGCTTCGCTATGTTGAGTCATGTTACTGATGCTGAGTCTTTAAAGGCAGCAGTTCTTCTCACTGGTTATTAAAAGTCTTTTGAAATGTAAATATTTATCCATGTTTATGCACTGAATTTTTATCTTTACTGTTCTATATGCATTTCTTATAACTTAGTTTTCTCTTACCGATGTCAGAAGCTCTTACACAATTTCTCTTCTTTGTATATCACTTGAAAAAGTTAACATATTTCTTTTCTATTTTAATTTCTGAAAAAGAAGGAGGGCCTATATGATGGCTTGTAAAGGACTATAGCTAAGAATGCAAAGGTGAAAAGAATTCTTTTGCCAATCTGCTATAAACAATCTTCTAATCCAAAAGTGTAACTGTGTTCACTTACTAGGTTTTTTGTTTGGTTAGTTCGTTGGGGTTTTTTTTTTCCAGTATAGTTATGCCAGCTGTGGTGGGGTGAAGAATGTGTGTGATATTTTAACCAGTATTGCCATGACAGCAAAACTTATCAGTGCAGAAAAAGAATGAAAACCTCTCCCCAGAGGATCTGGGATTAGCAATGCCTGCTTTAGCTGAAGAGCTCAGTGTATCAGATCCCCTAGAGTCACTGAACTTGACAGAGAGAAAGTGGAATGTCACACAGAGGTTGGTTAAAAAATTACTTACCTTCAAGAGGGTAAAACCAGCTCTTGTGCAAGAACAAACAGCGTGATTCAGCAAATGAAGAGATAAATGATTTAGATGAGCTGAAGTTTTAGCAGCAGTTGACATTGAAATACTTGTTTAAGAGGTATTATGGAGGAAGACGGACACAGAGGGCCATAAAAGATGAGCTGAACTGGATCAGGAGCTTAGCAAGAGACTGATGTCTGTCTGGATAGGGAGAGGTGGTATGTTCCTGGAGCAGGAAAGAATATATAAATATATTCTGTAAGCTATCAGCCTAATAAAAGCATAGGGGACAGGAGTATACACTGGGAAGGGCTCAGAAGAGGAGGAAAGGTACAATGTCCATGCACTGACATTTGCATTTAAGATGGCAAGATACAAACTGAAACAGAAGAGTAAGAGAACACAAGTTAGATAAAATCCTGTCAGACAAAGCCAGCTAGGACAGGCGACTGCATCTTCAGTCAACAGAGACACGAGTCACAGCAAATGACAGGCAGCTTAGAGATAACGGCAAGGAAGCCCCTCTCCCACCTTTGTACATCTCCACACTTTGTGCAATGAGATCATCTTCCAGCTGAACATTCCCCTCCCTCATACGCCAGCTGCCAGGTGTATGTAAAGGCTCGTGGGGAGAGAGGAGAAATGTCAGCAGTTTGGGTAGTTTATTAATAAGGTGAAGCTGCTGCTGCTGCCAGGCTTGCCCTGGTCCTTGCTGAAATCCTGCTGAGGCTGTGCCGTCGCCTGCTGGAATATGATTGCACTACAGCTTTGGACACTTTAACACCAAACTACAAACTGTGGAGACTTCATCTGGAAGTAGTCTCTTACTAAATCAGCGTACAGAATCAGAACTAATTTATTCCATTTTTTTGGTTCCCCCCCCCCCCCCCCCCCCCCCCCCACACTCTCTGCAGCTGAGATAGGATTGATCTGCCACTCAGAAAAAATCTTTGTTGAAAATGCTGACTTGCCTGAGAAGTTATTCTAATGAAAGCTGGTGACAAAATAGCTCTGCATGTCTCTATACAATTTTATTCAAATGCAAATTATTCTTAAATGTGCATAGATGGCAAATAATGTATCGATGTCAACTGGATTATGACACTACAATTTTATGATCCGTAGAATATGAAAAGGCATATTGCTTAAATAGTCTACTGGATTCACTGGCACATTTGAGATTAAAAAAAAAAATTACATTACTGTTTTGCACAGTGACACAGCAAGTAGTACTTGTTTGTGTTTCCAAATCTCACAGGTTTTAGGAGTTGCAGAAGAATGAAATATTTTATATGTGGCAAATCTGTTCCCTGCTACTTGTAGTCTTGCAGTTGAATGTCGCAGAACATAATACATTCTTAGTGTGGCTTCTTACTAAGCACGTACTTGTCAATGAATGATTTGTTGAATGATTTCTGCTGAAGTGGTAGCTAATACATTAACAAAATGGTTATTGTCAGGCTGAACGAGGAAACGCATCTGCAAAAGACATTCTCGTGTCTTCAAAACCAAATCAGATCTTCACCAACTGTCTACCTGGTCAATTATAAAGTCACACGATGTTGACTGATTTTTGTAAGTCTAAAAGTAGGCAATAGCATAATTGTAGGATATACTTTCTAAATGTGAAGTTCGAGTCTGTTGTAGCTTCATCCATTACACTTAGAAAGGGTTATGGTAAATATTGCACAATGTTGGAAGAACCCACATTTCTGAACCTGTTCCTTTTGCCATTAGCAACACTAATGACTCAAAAGGGACGTTCTGTTTTGGGACTCTGCATGCAGCTGAGCACTGGTTGAAATATGGTTCCAATGCATAACTGTTTCTCATTACTCTGTGGTGATATGCGGAGCTTTTCAGAACAAATACACAACAAATGTACTGTATTTTGATCCTACACAGTGCCATATATTCCAACGGATTGCCCGATGAATATTCCTTTTTAACTACTTTTCGGATGACTGGGGCCACACTTCAGAAATACTGGACTATTTGGCAGATTCAGGATTCTTCGGGAAAAGAACAAGTTGGAGTGAACCTTAATGGCCAAATGAAAAGCGTTGAGTTTTCTTATAAAGGAGTGGATGGAAGTCTTCAAACTGCATCATTTTTGCATTTGCCTTTCTTGTTTGACTCCCAGTGGCACAAACTTATGATAAGTGTGGAAGCAAACAGTGTCACACTTTTTATTGACTGTATTAAAATAGAATCCTTAAACATAAAACCAAAAGGGAAAATCAGCACTGATGGCTTTGCTGTGCTTGGAAAACTTAAAAATAATCCTGAAATTTCAGTTCCGGTAAGTTCCAAAAACTTTTATTACTACAAACAGTATTTTATAGGATCTTTACACTTAACATTCTTTTGTGGAATGCATCTTCAAATGTTTTCTGGAAGTAGAAATGGTGGACAATAACAACGCCTTGGCAGGTAAGTATAAGCTTTGCTTTTTAAATTTTGCATATATATATACTGTGTAAGGTAAGAGATGAGCCACATTATGTCTGAATTTCAATAGTGAAATTTCTCAGAAACCCATGCTTCTGACACTGGGTTCTGCTCTGTCTGGATGTACGAGTTGGGTATTCCTCTGCTTATCTCATCTATGGTGCTTGATCTAGAAGGAAGTCTCAGGACATGGATTTGTGGGCTGCGCCTCACACCAAGGAGAGCAAAACATTCATTGAGCAAGAGCTGGGGCCCCTCTCTCATATGCATGCACTGACCATCAGCCAGAGATAATTAAATGCCCCTCTGGCAGAATAAATATTTTAAATCATTAATACAAAGAGAATATCTCCTGTAAGGGAGATTGACAGAGGTCCTTTTTGATCAACTCTGATGTTCACAGAGGAAATAAGAGACCCACGCTTAAATCTCAGTGCTAAATCAGAGATCATCATGAGTACCTCAGGAGACTGGTCTAATCATTGTGCTGTCTGGTATGATCATGTTAACAAGTTGCTTTTTCTCTTTAATTAGCTTGAGTTTTTTTAAAAAGGCTGACCTGGAGTAGACAGTGAACTCTTAAAGAAGGTTCTTGTTTATGAATTCTGTGAGGGATAAAGTGTAGCATCAGACACAAGATCCAATCCAAGTGAAGGGCTCAGCACAGCTGAGACATAAAGCCCACTCATCTCCACAGTACCTTCTCCTGGCTAGCTCAGGACATCCCACCCCCATATCCTGACTGCTGTGAATCCCTCTGTTAGATATTTAACTTCCCCTGTGCGTGCTAGTAGGCACCTAAACTCATGGTGCAGTGCTCCTTTATCCTGTGTAGCCAGAGGAGGCAGTGAAATGCTTATTCTATACCCTGTTAGTGGATTTAATGCTGAAAATAACCTCTTCATGATACTACAAGGAGAGTTGTTCTGATGCAGAAAACTTTGGGGGTGACATATGATAAATATTGAATGCTTTTGTGCCCTTCAACAAAGAAAGCTGAATATGAAAAGCCTCAGGGATTTCATTATTTGATTATCTGATTTAGTTTCGGAGATAAGCAATTAATATAAAATGCATACAAAGTGACATACCTGTAATTTCTGACACAAAAAAAATTGTAGCTGTCACATATACATTTTGCCTTTCAGACATCCATGAACGAAATTTCTCAGCTAGTGTTTTTTCAGCTAATGAGTTATACTGCACTTTATGCTGACTAACAACAATTTTGTCCCACGGTGGCACTAAATGACATTTAAGACTTTGGGAAGGCTATTTCTGAATTTGCTTTGTAAATTAAAAGGAAATAGTTTCAAAACACAGTTGAAAAGCATTGCAGAAAACTTTGCTAAATTCCATATATTATCCTGTTTGTTTTCCAATGATCCTCTTTTAAGTTTGTTAGGAACATATGAATGTTAGGATACCCATATGTATACATATATATAAGGTACTCATTTCAAAATGAGTTGAATAGCGAAAGAGAATCAGATACTTAATATGTTGTAACCATTTTCCACACTCCTCCACTGAAGTTTTGCATCAACTTTGAAATAAAAAGTGAGATACAAACTTTTAACTACATTTCATGTTGTTTGCAAAAAAATGCGGCCACAGAACCAGCATTGTATAAACTTGAAAGGGGAATCCTTGCATCAGAAGAAGCAGCTCATGCTTCGTCACCTCTGTATGTATAGGTTACTATATCACGCTGTACAGAAATCAGTTTTACTTGTAAAATGATGACAGAAAGCTGCTTCAGATGTCTGAAAGTATGTTGTTATAGATACGGATTAGAAAATATCAATAGCTGAAAAGTTATATTGGTTCTGTTGAAAACTAAAGTTAGCCTTTGAAAATGTCATTCAAAAGTAATCAGCTGGAGCTGATAATGTAATGATTAGCTATGTACATATCTCAGCTTTGCCAACTGGTCTGAGGGATACTGGTGGATGAAAGGATGGATGGGATGATGAAAACATTACATAGTCTATGCATGTTACGAGAATGAAAAAAATTCTACCCCAATATTGTATTCCTCTTTGGAAAGATATTTAGATTAAATGTGCAGAGAGCTATAGGCGTTAATGTAATAGTATTACAACACTTCGTATACAGTTCTACAGTAAGCCATGCCCTCGGGTTAGACATGGAGTCATTCCTTTAAAAGCGAGGAGGGTTCCGTTGCCTGCTGAAGTAATGACTAGAAATGGCAGCCTACAAATGAGGAGAGAGTCATGGTATAAAGGTCACTTTGGCAAGAACTTGGCCTTCTCCCCCTTCTCTGTGGGTGCTCTGGCTGACCTTTGGCTAGGATTAAAGAAGTCAGGAAAAGCAGCAGAGGAAATCTGGAATTTTTTCTCCCTTCCTCTCCAGCCTGTGTTTTGCAGAGGCTTGCTCTTTTCAGCAAGGTATACAAATGAGGAGCACGGATTGCTCCAGGCTCTTCAGGCATCTGGTAGGGGAAGAGTGTCTAGCATGAAGTTCTGCCTCACCCATGTTTAAGCAGGTACATCATTAGGCACTAGTGTGAAGCTTTGTTAAGTATAGAACACCCTTTTTCAAGGATGAAAGGACAAAATGGAATTGTCATTTTTACAACCCACCACTTATCATGCAAAATATTTGTTTACACCTTTCGAATGTTTCTGGGAAGATTCAGTCATATTTAGTATATCTTATGAAAAAAAATCAAATCTTTGCATAAGGTAGGCCTTAAAACAGGAATACAATGCACATTTTTTGACAAAAAGAATAATGAAGCACTGGAGCAAATTACTGGGGAAGGAAGAAGCTAAGCATCACATTACATTTCTAAACCAAGCGTGGATGTCTAAAAATACACTTTAATTCAGATGGAACTGTGGCTTATACATAGGACTCACTAGATTGAATTGGATGGTTTGTGCTATGAAGCCAAAACTGACAATGGTATCAGTCCAACCTGGTATTATAAAAATGTAGATTTAGGAAGACCATATTATCTGAAATTATCATGAAGAAATTACACAATCTGATGGAGTAGTAATTTTAAAATGGCTGTTTATATTGCAGAAGTTTCTGGTTTAGCCTGTGCATTTAGTTTAACTTTAAATTGAGTAAACAAATCTACGTTTGGGGATATTCTAGGCTTACCTTTTAACTTGCTTGACTATACTCAGTTTAAGTATCTCACCAGTCTTGGTTATTTAATATGTCCCAGGCACAATTTCTAATTTATTTCCAGGTATTGTTAAAGTACTTTACTTCCAGTGGTATAATTTTTAAAGGACATAAATTACGTGTTTCCTGTTCTTCTTTTTTGCAGTATTCTGTGAGTGCTCTATTTATCTTGCAGAATAGGTCAACTTCTTATAGGTGCACTGTAATACATGTCATTTTAAAAGAGATTCTTTATTGCTTGTTGTTACTATGATTGCCCAGGAGAGAAATAGATAGAGTTCCATTAGAAACTATGGCTTCCTTTTGAGCCTTTACAAAGATTTATTCCAGGATTTCTGGAATGTTTTATGGAGGAAAAATTTTTATACAGGTTTACAGCTGCATTTTATCTTTTTTTTAGATAAAAAAAAATAGTTCTTTCTATCTGAAAGTAATTCAAATAAACTTTAAGAAATACGAGACATATCATCATTTCAAAATTGAAAAGGAACTTACTTACTTTCTAAATCATGTGTTCATTATAGAAAGGCAAGGGCATTAATTTCTTATTGCTCAAAGTTTAACTGCTGTGAGATGATATAAATTGCCTTAGTTTAGAATCATAGAATCATAGAATTGTTTAGGTTGGAAAAGACCTTCAAGATCATCAAGTCCAACCGTTAACCTAACCCTGCCATCCCACCACTAAACCATGTCCCCAAGCACCTCATCTGCCCATCTTTTAAATATCTCCATGGATGGGGATTCAACCACTTCCCTGGGCAGCCCATTCCAATGCTTGACAACCCTTTCAGTGAAGAAATTTTTCCTAATGCCCAATCTAAACCTCCCCTGGTGCAACTTAAGGCCATTTTCTCCTGTCCTATCACTTCTTACTTGGGAGAAGAGGCCAACCCCCACCTCACTACAACCTCCTTTCAGACAGTTGTAGAGAGCGATAAGGTCTCCTCTCAGCCTCCTTTTCTCCAGACTAAACAACCTCTGTTCCCTCAGCCACTCCTCATAAGACTTGTGTTCCAGACCCCTCACCAGCTTGGTTGACCTTCTCTGGACATGTTCCAGCAACTCAACATCTCTCCCATAGTGAGGGCCCAAAACTGAACACAGTGTTTAAGGTGCAGCCTCACCAATGCCAAGTACAGGGGCACAATCACTTCCCTACTTCTGCTGGCCACACTATTTCTGATACAAGCCAGGATGTTATTGGCCTTCTGGGCCACCTAGGCACACTGCTGGCTCATATTCAGCTGCCTGTCAACCAACACCCCCAGGTCCTTTTCTGCCATGAAGCTTTCCAGACCCCCATTGATCCAGCATGTCCAGGTCTCTCTGCAGAGCCTTCCTCCCCTCAAGCGGATCAACATTCCCACCCAGTTTGGTGTCATCTGCAAATTTAATGAGGGCGCATTCAATCCCCTCATCCAGATCACTGATAAAGATGTTGAACAGAACTGGCCCCAGTAGTGAGCTTTTAACCAGCCACCAACTGGATTTAACTCGATTGACCACAACTCCCTGGGCTCGGCCATCCAGCCAGTTTTTTACCCAGTCAAGAGTATACCTGTCTAAGCCATGAGCTGCCAGCTTCTCTAGGAGGATGCTGTGGGAGACAGCGTCAAAGGCCTTGCTGAAGTCCAGGTAGAGAACATCTACAGCCTTTCCCTCATCCACGAGGTGGGTCCACCTGGTCATAGAAGGAAATCAGGTTGGTCAGGCAGGACCCTGCCTTTTATGAACCAGCTGAGCCTGACCCCCTGATTGTCCTGCACATGCCGGGTGAGCGCACTTGGGATGAACTGCTGCATAATTATCCCAAAATTCAGTTTCCCTGACCGGGAATCGAACCCGGGCCGCGGCGGTGAGAGCGCCGAATCCTAACCACTAGACCACCAGGGATCTGTTTTTGTGATTTTGGAGCCATTACCCTGATTTTCTCATAATAGACACTAAATACTTTGCTGGAAGTGATCCTTGGTCATTATTTAATGGACATTTAATGCTCTTAACTAGTTCAGGGCAGCTGCATGACTTGTATGTAATGTCTAAGAGGAAGCTGCTTATCAATATTTGCTGAACAGGTATTAATTTACACCATAGAACAGATTGTGTGTGTGAATTGTAAAAGTCACATCTCAGGTTTTTTTTGCCCTGTGAAATCTCACATTCAGAAGGCTGAACCTTTGCTATGGAAGGTCAAATAACACGGAATTTGCTGTACTGTTCTAAGACTTCAAAAAAAGATGCAAGGAAAGTGATGCTCTAAAACCCCATTACAGAGATATAGGAAAACGGATAAAACATGTTTAAATAGCTCCAGAATGAGATATATTTAAATATGTGTAGCTTATTCTTGGTCACTTAACAAATGTACAAAGAGTTGATAGAAGACTTCCCTTAGAACAAACACAGATATCATTGATGAAAAATTGTAGAAAACCTGCACCTGAAAATTGCTTAGCTGAGTTGTACTTCCCCTGAAGGGATGTCTTCCCTGAATCATCCCCGAGGCAGCGATAGCCCAGCGGGGCACAGGGAGCCAGTTCTCCCAGAGGGGACCTGCAAATGTGCTCTGAGTGTCACAGTTTTCCCTAAAGCCTACGGTACGGCTAAATGCTTCCCTGTGAGTGATGCTATACCAAAAATACTACCCCTAGATATTTAGGTCTCATTTATGTCTTACTTAACCACTAACAGGACAACTGAATTGCGTAGCTGATACCGAGATGTGCAAAGCTGTGAGCACTTGCAGGCATTTCCATAGAGTTTAAGAGGACAAAACAGTGAATAGACAGATATAACTAATCCAATTATATTTGTGCTGACTAAGACATTAAGATGAAATGGAAATCCTGTAGGAATCTTGGAAAATGGATGTCAGAAATTTTGACCTACAGGTCTTAAACACACACAGGTCTTAAAGGATTACATTTTAATAAGTTTGCTTCATGATTACCCCTGATTTATCTGAGGTTCATTTCTGACAACTTTGTCCCTGTACTTTATCCCTAATAGCAATTTGTATTGATGTCAATAGAACACCTACATCATCTACATCTTCAAAATAGTGGCATCCTTTAAACGAGCTTAATATAATCAACAAGACCATTGTGCAATACTGGCAAGGGAAAAGGTACCTTGACAGCAAGGGTGGGAGATATTTGTCTTTCTCTCACCTCTCCTAAATCAATGGGAGGCCAGTCACACCTTTTACTACCTTGCCAACAAGAGTTTTATTTTTCAATTTAAAAAAGTCAAACAGGTTTCATCTCAATTTTTGTTTTATATAGCCTTGAAACAGTAACAAAAGCTCTAAGCAAAAAGTTCACAGAGCAACCACAATTTATTTAAAAAAAAATGCTGCCTGACTAAGCAACTGTGAACTAAGAAATGTGAAATTAAAGCTGCATGTTTAAAATATTTCAAGTCCTTTTACATTCATTTTATGCTACAGTGTTTTGTAAATAATGCTAGGTAATTTTTCAGCATAGGATGCCTGCCTCATTTATTCAGACTTTTTTTGGTGTGTCTTAAACTCATGAGAGTACCAGGCCTTACTTAATGCTCACCAGTCAAATCTCATCTTGAACAAAACAAAGTGATTTGCTTTCTCTTTGGCCGTTCAAGAGTGTTGGAAGAAAACATATGAGACACTAAAAGGATTTCCTGACTCACTGAGTCAAGTTCCCACTGCAGCAAGTAATCGCATCTTATAATCTCATTAATAAATCTATCTCTATTTTAATATTGATTATGTTCAAAGTTGAAAAATTGGGTTCAAACTTTAAAAATATATGTGCATTTGCTAATAGTATTCTCTTAAGATGCAGATATTGGCACTTGGACAGTCATGCATCAGAGTCCCAGTAATTAGCATTTGATCATCTCAAATCTATCTCACCTTAGTACAGAAGCCAAAAACCAGACACACACATGCACAAACACACAAAAAAAAACCCCAAAAGAGGCAATGATTACCTATATTAAAAAACTAGACCGTGCTGATGCAGATGTTGGCTGCTGATGGTAAGGCATAAAAGTAATTTTTTAAGTGTTTACAGATTTTGTACCGTGTTATAAGTTGAAAGCACAGCTTTGGAGCCAGTTACGGACCTCTTTTCCTCTGCAAGTGAGTTCAGAGGTAAATAATGTCGAGACTCGGGACACAGAAACTAGCTGTATGGTATGACATAAAATACCACATAGGTATCATTTGATCCCATTTTTATGCCTTTTTATAAATCCTCATCTCCAGATTCCAGATACCATCTTATTTTTATTACTGTGTTGCTGCCTTGTAGTATTAGATTATAGTATACATTCAGTTCTTTTATAGTATACGTATACATAGTATACAATACTATGATGTTCAGTTGTCTATTACTAAGGGCTAGGAAAGTTTTCAAAATGAGAATTGGATAAAGGAGGTAGAGAATTGACTCACAGATAGTGGTGTCAGATAACAGGTAAAAGAAACGAGGGTGCTGCCTCTTTTGTGCTCTAGCCTCAGCACTCTGGAAACTGTGATGACTGGAAAATAAACAGAACAGTAGAGATGTGATAGCGAGGATTTCAGGAGTGGCAGCACTGAGGTGGTGAGGGTGAAAGCAAAAAAAAATAAGCAACTTGTGGATACGTGGGTGTCTCGCAGTGATCTTAAAGGACTTCAGACTCAAAGCATTTATCAAAGCATTTATTAGCTCTAGCAGCCAGTATGCAACTAAAGTCAATGGTGGCGGAAGAGGAAAGCATCTTGGAATGACAGTCTGCCTTCGGCATCAGTTACGAGTTGGGATTGAAGAGAGCAATGAGATATCCCAGAGGGAGCACAGAAGGCAGCCAATAAGCACCAATACAGTATGTTGTGGGAGGGATGGTGGGAAGCTACTTTAGCTCAATAGAAAAAGAAGAAAGACTCAGAGAAGCAAAGAAATAAGAAGTGAAAGCTCCCAGACACTCACTTTTATTTTCAGCTTCTCAGAAAAACCAAATCAGAGCCTTTTCCATACCAGGGCTCTGTGTTGTAACGATGAAAAACCCCCAAAACTTTCTTTCCCCCCAACTCCTCAGCCATCCATAATGAAAAGAAAGGAATAGGGGCCTCTGGATTTTATCATGATAAATCTCTGGATCAGCCGCTCATTAGTGGTTCATAAACCAAGTTGATACTATGTGTGATGGGAAGGGAAAACAACCCAAGATTTTAAAACCTAGATACAATAAGTATGCACAATTCGTTTCTGGTACTTAAAATTCCCTGTGTTGCATTATGTATCAACGGATACACCTCTGAAGCTGTATGTTTGAGCTAATAGCTCAAACAGTAAAATTAACTTTCAGCAGAGGGTATGTTTTTTAATCTCTATAGCACATCAAGTGAGTCTCGGTTGCAGTTTCTGAGAAGAGGTTTGCCTTAGCCTTGAGTCATTTTCCAGTGCCAAATACAAATGTTCAAAGAAGATGTGAAATTTCACAGATGTGTATTGCCCAGCTGCAGACTGTTGCCAGTGTGTGTATAATCCTGCTTTCTGAACTTCTTGCACTTAGACCATGTTTCTGCCCTCAGACCTACCATGGCCATCTATCCACCCAGAGAAAATCTTTTTTGTGTGCCTAATAAAACCACCACAGAGCATGAGGAAAAAACACTGGTGCTTATACAGAACATGTGAAAAAAAAAAAGACAGACACATGACAAATCTCACCTTCTCTTTAAATCCCTCGGCAGGTTTATGCCCTCTCTTTAAAAGAGCTTCAGAGCTAGGGGTGAGGGAGCTCAGTGTGATCTGCTCTGGACTGAGCTCCAGAGGCCGGCTCAGACCCTTCCCGTGGGCAGCGAGCTGCGGCACCTCGATACACCCACCTCCATTACCATTGAATACCTACCTTTTAAAACATGCCGTTTGTTGACCAGTGTTCCACCCATTACACCCTTGGCCAGTGTGACCCCCTGGCCCGAATTAACGTGACCTTTTATCTCCTTTGCCAGTTCGAAATCCAGTGGATGGTGATTCACTGCGACCCCCTGCGACCCCAGCGCGAAGGCTGCGGCGAGCTGCCGGCCCGGGTGAGCGCCTTGCCTGG